AAAAAAAAAAAAAAAAAAAAAAAAAAAAAAAAAAAAAAAAAAGATTTGATGGATAGCGATGACCCATAAAAAAGATGACAACTCACACATTGATTGGGTCTGTGCATGTGTTTCTTTCATCTGCTTTGCGTTCTTGATTGGGTCTACCCACCTTTTTTTTTTTTCCCCGCGCTGTAAAAATGGGCCTCACTCGGAGTCACTCCATCTGAACGAATGTTTGACCAGATACATTCCAAATGTTCGACTCATCTGAATGCACATGGTCCAGAGAGCGTTCACGTGCATGTAAAGTGTTGTGTAGTAGAGCGAGGCCCGATGTTCCAATTTCAACAGCAGTCACAAAAAAAATACAGAGGAACAAGATTGGACAAGTTACGCCACCAGTACTGCCAGTGGGAAGTTCCGGGGCATTTTTCTACGAGCCTGCGGACGCCCCGTGCGCCAAAAACCGACCCCGTGCGGGCCATTGATGAATTTTATTGAGGGCTTTGCAGGCCCTGAAAATTGCAGCACGTGCACGACAAGGGCCTGCAGCCGATATATGGGCCACCAGTACTTCCAAGGCACTTTTCTCGGAGCCCGGGGGAAAGCCGTGCACGCCAAAAAACGAACCGGCGTGGGCCATTGATGAATTTTATCAACGGCCTTGAAGGCCCCGAAAATTGCAGCGCATGCATGACAAGGGCCCACGGCCGATAAATGGGCCACTGGTGGTTTAAGATTTTTCCGTCTTCTTTTTTTAGGCTATTGAGGGTGCCCCCTACATCAGCAGCGGAAGTGGATTCGACCCCTACATCAGCAGTGGAAGTGAATTTGACCCCTAGATCAGCAGCGGAAGTGGATTCTCTGATTTTGGGAAAATGTCGTCCAGCTGTCCAGGTGCAAAAAAAACAATTGAACAAATAACGACTCCGCTGAACAACTGGGATTTCATTAGGGGACGACCATTTCGTTTTCTTTGATTTCAATTTTCAAGGAAGGAAAAGTATTCAAAAAAATTGAAAAAATCAATGGACACTTTGGAAAGTTAAAAAACGAATAAAAAAGCAATAAAGTATAGATGAACCAGGGGAGTCGTATCAGAAGAGCTTTACCGAGTCCACTCAGCTCGCCACTTGCAATCTTCCTCAAAATACGGCGCATGATCTTCCCGGATCTCTGGGAAAAAGAAAAGAGAGAGAGAGAAAAGTGAAACACACAAGATTTTAGTTTTTTTTTTTTTTGTCAGAGCCAAGACGCGTGCAAAGGAGCAAACTTCAGGCATACTTCCACTAGGACCTGAAAAAAACTGCGCTCTGGAAGAGATTACAGTCGGCTCTCTATCCAGGCTGTTTTGCCGGGCGGCCCGGTGCCCAACTTGTGCCCAGACACACGACCGGGTGCCTGGGCATGAAACCCAGGCAAGGTTCCAGGCAGCCCTTGTAGGCTTGTCCAAAAAAAAAAAAAAAAAAAAAAAAAACCCAGAAAAAAAAAAAAATTCCCAGGGAAAAGAAAAAGTTGGGTAGAATTGCAAAACAAACGACATTTGGCCGAGGGCCATAACAGAATTCCTCACGGTTGGAAGATGCAAAAGAAAAGAACCGAATCAGACTAGGCACCGCCCTTTAGACCCCTTGAAAAGCAATCTATACCCCCATACCCCCACCCCCCCCCCCCCCCCCCCCCCCCACACAACCAAAAAAAGAAATAAAAAGAATGAAGAAAAACTACTTCCCTTATAAACACAACCCCCCCCCCCCCCCCCAAAAAAAAAAAAAAGGAAAAGAAAAAGAAGGGCTGATTTTTGCCTGCATGGGGTGACCGCCAGGCAACTTGCCCAGGGAGCAGCATGGCCGGGCGAGCCAAGTAGCCTATAGCTTTCTAAACCTTTTTTCTTTTTTTTTTCCCTTTTTGAAGATCCGAACTGCTCCTCTCTTCTCCCTCCCCTTTGCAGTCCAGGATTTCCCTATCCATGACCTTTTCCTTCTTTTCTCCCTTCTTTTCTCCCTTCTTTTTTCCCTTCTTTTTTTTTCCCTTCTTTTTTTTTTCCCTTCTTTTTTTTTTTCCCTTCTTTTTTCCCATCTTTCTCCCTTCTTTTTTCCCTTCTTTTTTCTCTTCTTTTTTTTTCCCTTCTTTTTTTTTCCCTTCTTTTTTTTTTTCCCTTCTTTTTTCCCTTCTTTTTNTTCTTTTTTTTTCCCTTCTTTTTTTTTTTCCCTTCTTTTTTCCCTTCTTTTTTCCCATCTTTTTCCCCATCTTTTTTCCCTTCTTTTTTCCCTTCCTTTCCCCTTCTTTTTTGTCCATTACCAGTGCACGCCCCCAGCCTTGCAGATAGATGTGTGTTGCCACGGGACCACAATGGCTGGCGGCACCAGCCAGAAAAGAAAGAAAGTGCCCTGCTGGTCGTTCGGAAAAGCTTGGTGCCCAATGCAGAGCCTCCAGGCCCCGGTCTGATTATCAACAGACTTTGCCAATAGAGTCCGATCGCTTCCCATCCAGTGCGATAGATTCCGATCGATCGTTCACAAAAGCTTGGTGCGCAATGCAGCGTCTCCAGGCCCGGGTCTGATTATGAACAGACTTTTCCAGTCAAGTCCGATACGCTTCCAATCGAGTGCGATACGCTTCCAATCGAGTGTGAGGGCTTACAAAAGAATGCAATAACTTCCGATCAGGTAATTATGATTCAGCAAGACCTGATGCAAAAGATCGGACGAAATTCCCACAAACTCCACATGTGCTCAGAATTTGATTGGAAACGGTCGACGCTTGAATGGAACGTTCGCTGACAAACTGGAATTGCCAAATTGAAGTCAAACACACATATTTGAGAAAAGAATTAAAAAAAAATAAAAATCACATAACATAGGATAAATTATCACACGAGAGAACATGCGGCGGCTGCTCCCGACCTGCAGGTGGGCGATACCGGCTAGTGGACAGCCAGTAGCATCAGGAACCATGCCAACAGGACCAATCCCTGTGCCTCCCCTTCGGTGGTGGTCCCCTCCCCTTTCTGGCTGCTACGGGGTTTCCAATATGCCTACAATTAGGAGTAGTGGTAGGTAGGTAGTGTGAGGTGAAATTGAGAGAAGAATATAGCTTTATTAAAAGAAATTAATAAAATTATCACACTACAATGACGTGTCTCGCATGTGGACCTCGGCTTGGGTGCGCCAAGCACTGCAAAAGACTCGCATTCATAATCGAGTTCTCGTTCCTAATTCAGGAGACGAGTGCATCACAATGTTTTCTGTAGTTTTGATTTTCCGGTTTCTTTTCTTTTTTTTTTTTTTTTTTTTTTAAATCCCATCGTTGGGGGCCT